GGCTGCGTGTTCAGGGGTGGGCTTAGGTGCGGGAGCAGGGGCCAGGCAGGGACCGGAATGTGTGCAGCTGAGGTGAGCGGTCAAGGTCAAAGTCAAGGTCACTGCTGGGCAGTGGGGGAGGGAGTCCCGTGGCCCTGCAGGAGAGGAGCAGGCACCTCCAGATGTGGCCCAGGGCTCAAAGCTTCCCGAGGTCCTGGCACTGTCCCTGGGCTGGCCCCAGCTGCTGCCCAGGCAGGCCGGGACCCTCGCCGCAGCCCTCCGAGGATGGACCAAGGTCCGATTAGAAAATAAGAGGCCCAAGCCAGAGAAGTTCCCCTTCTCCAGGTCACTTGGATCTCGAGATCACTGGAGATCACTGGAGCCGGATGCCCAGGACCTCCCAGCCGGGACTGGGCTGTCTACCTCCAAGGGCGGACATGTGCCGCTCAGGATGGACGTCAGAGAGGACACTGCTTTTTATTTATTTATTTTCTTGCTGGACTTGCTGGGCATGGACCCCAGGGCTGCACACGTGACAGACAGGGCTCTACCACCGAGCCACAGTCCCTCTGAGGACAAGGCAGACCACGCGTCCGTTGTCCCGGGTCTTCTGAGCGGATCCCCAGGAGCGGGTGGTCCCTCTCAGTCAGACCCTAAACTCCTGGACCCCCCCCCACAGAAAACCGGCCCAACCCTCAGAGCCTTCTGACACAAGACCAGCCTCCGTCAGTCCCAGGTGGCCCCGCGGGCCCCGCCCACATCCCCCCTCTTCCCAGCTTGCCTGCGCCTTGTGATGAGGAGCTCACTACCTACAGCAGCCGGATGGATCTGCCGTCTGACACCTCTGTTTCCCTGCAGGCACCTGGGCGGGCGGGAAGCTAGTCCCCAGAGATGCAAAGAGTCGGCTCGTCAACACCCTTGGGAACGGCCTGGGTGGGTCCCCGTCTTAGTTAGTCCTACCACCCTGTACATCTGGGCGCCCACACGGCAACCATGAGGAGCCGCGCTTACCCTGGCTTAGCGGAGCGTCTCCCCCATTTATCTGGCTACAGATAAATGCTCCTGCACGCTACCCCAGCATGATGCCACCCACCACAAAAGCCACCAGGACCTAGCAGAAGCCAGCGCATGCTCTCGAACTTCCAGAGCTGAGCCAAAGGAACCTTTTTTCTTCATAAAGCTCTCGGCCTTGGATGTTTTGAGACAGCCACGGAAAATGGACGTTCCGCCTGTCCCTGCACAGATGGGAAGAGCAAGATCTACCCCGCACTGGGCACTTAGGAGGGTCACCCTGCAGTCTTGTCCAACAGGTGAAGAAACAGAGCTCTGTGGGGGGAAGTGACGTCACGTGACTGGTGGCAGAGCTGGAAAGGCAGCCTTAAAAGGAAGGGAACAGGAACACTCCGCCACCGCCACGTGTTGGCATGATTGTCATCTGACCCACGGGTGGGGGCTCTTGGCCACCTCTTGTGTCCTGCTGGGATTTTCTGGGTCAAGCCTGCCTTTGAACAGGCGCCAAGGGGACTGGGGTC